ATGTGTGTGTATATACACACCCACACACACACACACACACACACACACACACACACACACACACACACACACACACACACACACATATATATATATACTAATTTATATTTACTCATTCAGCATAGAAACTTGCAGTATCATTGCAGAAAACATTGCAACATAATTGCAGATTGCGCTGCAATATTGTAGACATCAAGAATTGTAATATATAATACATATTATGGCGCAAGATTTTACAAATCTTGCAGCATTCTTACAGAGACATTAAAAACATTTCAGCTTTTCAATAATGAACTGCTGTCACATATGGAAACATATGTCAATTACACGTTATATGATTAATTATTTCCATTAATTTAGAAATTATAATATTTGTTGGAACATCGTCGCCGCGCGACAAGATTTTTCAAACTTTATAATCAATTCTCATAATTTTTTTAATAATATTTGGATTTAAAAAATTCTTTAAATATTACAAAGAAAATGAAATAGTATGCGTGAAGTTTCTTATTATTTCCATTTTGTCAGTTAAGAATATGTACAAAATAGGCATACTTATAAAATAAAGTTTAAAATATATATTAGCAAAAAAGTGTAAATATGTCCATATACATAAATTTTAAAAATATATATACACATATATATATATATATATATATATACTTGCATATAAAATATTTGCAATTAAGTACAAAATATTATATAATTATATAAAATTATATATAATATAAAACATATATTGATTAATTCTTTTTCTGCATTTTTTTATCTATATCACAAATTGTAATATTTCAAACTATATTCAATTATATTCATAAAAATTTTGTATACGTATGTATATAAAAATAATTAAAACATATAAATAAATAAATAAACATAAATTAATTATATAATATTTATTATGTATAACAATCATTTAAAATTCAAATTTCTTTAAATTTCAAAAATATAAATATATATATTATTTTAAAATATGTACTTTAAATGAACAGAAAATATTTTGCGTTGATTATCTCAAGAAATGATAAGTATGTGTGTTGATAAAATCATGCTATATCATGCAACCTTCAAAAAGAAACCTGATAAAAAAATCTGAAATTTCATCTACGGATTAAAATTCGCGTAAAAATTTACTAAAACTATACGGCATACATTATATATTTCACGATAAGACAGATGATATTCGTCATTCGGTCATTATCGCGTGAATAGAATTTATCACAACGCGGCAATCGCTCGCGATCGCGTGACGAAAAAAAAATTACATCGTATGATGCATTATCGACGAGTTTTCTCATAACGACGTCGCCACGTCGGGCGCGTTTAATCTCGAAAAGACGGTCTGTCCCTCTCTTATCCTCTTCTGTAATTTAATTTTATCGGTGAACCTTGATGAGCCTTTTTGCGCCGTTCTTGAGAGCGCGCAATTATATCTTCGCAAAATATCTTAAGATACACCGCACGTGCAAAAAGCAGCCGTTATTTTCGGTCTAATAGACTCACTTCTCTGGTATTCCGCCATTCTTGATCCTTCAACCTTGACGTTATTCTGCTCGAAATTTCCCCTTCACCTGTTTCCTTTCGGTACAGCCAAATATACGAGTCCGTTCCGCAACAATACGTGGCTTTGCCGCCACGCGCAACTTTAAGGCAGTTTGAGGTTAAGCATACGAGGCTTATCATATGATAATGTTTTCTTGTTCCTCTCCATTCTCAGTATTCCCACAATCCCCCGTCACCCCTCCAGAAACTAGTTCGCGATTTTTCATCTTCAGCGCGATTATTACACAATTTTGATTGCTTTAAGTATGAGAGAGGAAAAGAGATAGAGAAACACGAATTTTTTCTCTTAAATATACAGAATCTATTTTTTTTTTTCATGTATTTTATTCACACGAAGCACGTGTCCAAAAAGAAGAAAAGAAGGACAAGTACAGGATTGCATGCGAAAAAGAGCTAATATTTGTTTTACCTAATTGATTTTTTGATTTGTTTTGATTTTAAGAGATTGGGCTTCGCGTTTGTATATTCTGATAGCAATAATTTCATGCGGCGTGTTCTACGATAGTTTACCGTTTTAAATTGCGAATATGCGAAACAAAAACACGATCGAGTAGAACACGAGGGAACACAATTGAAATTGAAAGTAAACACTGTCGCCATCTGGTCGCTCAGGGCTGTATTTTCTGAAAGTCAAACGTGATTGTTGTTGCGGCTAACTCCAGCAGACATTTTTGCAAGAAAAATTAATGTATGTCTAGTAAAAGTTGTTAACGATTATTAGAATTGTATTTTGACATTAACTATATTTATATGTCGAGATTTAAAAAAATCATGCGTTCAATCACTAACATAGATCTAATGAAAAACTTAACCTCACTTTCTTAAAGAAATTTATATAATTCTAGATTATTTTACTGTATATTTATGTATTATAATATTCATTCTTGTAGTATATCATATGATAAATTTATATTATATTACAGAGAGATGAGATTAACATCGATATTATTTCGTAATGCGAGACAGCCACAGAATGAAAAGAAGGTACCTTTTAAGGAGGTTATGCCATTAAAATTGAAGAATTCTGTGAGTGGAAAGAATCAGAAAACAACAGGTATATTTAACTTTCCGAAACTGATGGGGTTTATTGGCCCCATTCAATTACATTCCTTTGGAGTAGAGGGTGGATCTCTATTTGCTCCATTTATTTATAAATCTTTATCAAGAATATAAAACAATTTAATTTTTTATTCCATCCACAACTGTAAATTATTTTTATTAAAATATATTTAGATCTGTCTTCATAGTATATAGTTACCTAAAAATTAAAGAAATTACCAAGAAATTCATCAGTGAAATTCATTCATAAATTACTTGATAACCTGTAATTTTTAAGTAATCATATTGTAAAACCTTAGTACATTCATTCTTTTTAATATTTGATTTCTTGAAATTAATTTTATAGACTATAAATTTCATTCTGCACAGAACATATCAATATTTATTACAATTGTCAAGAAAATTGTTCTTATATATATGCATATATATGTAATTTTATAAAATTAATAATTTGAATATATTTCTATTTCCAGAAAAGGGATGTTTATTAGAAATGTCTTTGCTTTTGACGTGTCTCGAAGAAAATGAGTATGAAGACAAAAGATGTATCCCAGAATTAAAAGCATTAAATCAATGCTATCAAGTTTACACAAGTAATATAGAACGTGTGCAGTCTTTAAAGGATCAAATTATGCTTGTACCTAACAATAAGAACTTGACTCATAAGCAGATTACATATCTTCTACGAAGATATCCTACAGTATAGTGTTTTTCTTTTTGTAATGCTACTTCAATGCATTAACATATAATATATTGTAAAACAATTTAGATTATCATATTTAACACTTAACTATATAAAAACTGTTTCTGTAAATATTTATGAAGCTCTATAGATATCTTTATTTCCATTTGTACAATTATCTTATTAAAATATGTACATATATATGACGATTTTTTTTTAATTTAAAATAATTCTTTTCCATTTTTAACATCAGCAATATTCTCTTTATCAGAAACTGTATACGAACGTTTCAACGCAAGCCGTTTCGAGTAACCTAAAATTTGATACAATTTATTATGCAAAAGTTTGATCTATGCATCCATATAAAAGTGTACACAAAATACATACGAATTGGTTGGTTAATATTGGAAATAATTGGAGTTTTCTGAATGATATTCAACTGCTGCTCGATTCTTTGTAAAGCCTTATAATTCTCTAATTGTCCATCTTTATAATAATAATATGTACAGAATAATGTTATAGCACAAAGTATTAAGGCAATTTTTCTGCACAACCATGTTGTACTTAGCAGGTGCGCCTATAAGAGAAAATGGAATAGTATTATGAGAAACAATTTTAATTTTATTATAATATTACCTTATCATCTGGAGATTGAAGAATAGTCTTATCATAATATTGAACAAGTATTCTTTCAATCACTATATTCAAACTTAGAATACTAAAGAGCGCAACTCTTGCATCAACCGTTCTTCTAGAAGAACTGAATAACGCGCAGAGAATGCAGCTGACAGTATAAAATATAATAGATTGAAACCAAGACACTTCTCCGATAATCCAGCTTTGGAAAGTACGTATATATGAGAAGATCTCATAAAGTAGCTCCTTTTGATCTTTAGCCGATTCTCTAAAATTTAATCAAGAGTTTCAAATCGACAATTTATAATAATTTACATTTGACTAAATTTTTAAACGTTACAAAAATTATCTTTACAAACTCACTTGAAATCCGACATCATATTGCTAACTGTATCAGACGAAGTCTTTAGTACAGTTCCGAGTTCCTTGCCATGATCTAAAAGCTCGTTTTGAATACGCAAACCCTCCTTTTGACTGTTCAAAATTATACCTTGCATTTCCGATGCTTCTAACAATTGATCCTTCATTCGGGAAGATATTTGAAACAATCTAAATATATAGAATGATTAAATATAATTCAAATATGTAGAGATGTGTGAGTTTTTTATATTTTACATATGCAAAAATATTATATATGTACTTACAACTTTATAGTATTTTCAACTTCAGTTTGCCAGGCTTCATGATTCAAAAAGAAACAGATATGAGTTGCGTGAGTGTAGAATTCATTGTAAACACTAAAGGCTCGGTCTGTCATGTCACCAATGCATTTCCTGTGAAATAAATAATGGAGTTATTACAAAATTAGGCGTAAAATATAAGTAACAAAAAATATTCGTTTTACCGACGCTCGTCTTCTGTTTCACTGAAATGGCAACTGTAGGTTGCATGACCAGAATCCTCTAAGAAGCAATTTGCTAGTTGAAGGGCAAGAAGCGAATGTTCGTAATCATTTAATTTATCGCAATTGCTCTCCAATGTTTGGAGCGCAGTATGCCAACATTTTCCATGTTGTGGCAATGATGATTTTGCTGAAAATGATATGTTTTTTATATATTCTCTGTTAACTATTACTCTCATCAATTTCTACTTTTCGATTTCTTACCTTTTATCAAGGAATACTCTTTTTCTCCCAAATCTCTTAAGACTGTATTGCCATTGTTAGTTGATGTTTCATGAATAATAAATAACAAAAGCCAAATCATCTTGGAGTTAAATGTACAGCTCTCTCAGATCTTACAAATTTGCTTTTAGCAAATGTATATTAATGTAGTTCTCCATTATTCTATTAGATGACACATTTGGAGTAAACAATTTTACTGTTATAATACAAGAAATACAGACATAGAATACATAGACATAGGATATGTTTTATATCTATAATTATCATACACATGTGAAGGCTCTACGAGCGAATGAAAGACAATTAATTGTACAGTTAATCAAAGATAATAGCAAAAAATAATAGCAAAAATATCTACACAGTTTGAACTTAACAAATCCACAGACCCGGCTTCCAAATAGTTACAAACATCTATGCATTCACAAACATTTATATATGTACATATATTTTTAAATGATGATATGATAACAACTGGCGAAAAGTCAAAATAAAATTAAGTTAATTAAAATTGAAACTATCGAAGGTAGAAATTAAATTAAAATTAATACAAAGTCTAAAGGTATCTGTCTCAAAAAAACTCAACTTAAAACACTATGAAAGTTTAAAAAAAAATAGAAAAATAATTGCGTCTTTCGGAATTTTTGAACGAGAATTTGCACGATCACTTCAGTTTTTTAAGCTGTTTCATCATTCTCATTCATTATTCACGCTAATTATTCGAAGTTGCTGATAATGACACATGTTAGGTGAATTTGAGCAACAAGTAACAGATACATTTAAATATTTTTTTGAGTCGAGGACTGCAGCTGACCGCAGCGTCGGATTTGAATCGACTTTAACGGACAGTTCTTCAATCTGGCGCGACTGTTTGGGGCTCTGCACAATAAAAGGAACAAGGAACAGAGAATAAGAATTTCGACCTATCAGAAATCATGTATTGTGGAATACACAGTTTCTGATAGGTTGAAATTCTTATTCTCTGTTCCCTGTTCCTTTTATTTTGCGGAGCTCCTAAATATCTGCGTTGAATTGCGCGTTTGTCGTATACTAGCGCCCTAGAAGATTCGTATTTCATGGTGGCTGGAAAAAATAGCAAGAGACAAAAATCATGAAGAAAAAAAGAAAACTATCTTCAGAGCATAAAAGTCAACGTTATAATTCTAACAAAATTACAGCAATTCGATTCAATTCAATATCATGTAACGTTCCAACAATAAGTCTTTTTAGCTGAAGTTTTTGAATAGTTTCTCTCTCTCTCTCTCTCTCTCTCTCTCTCTCTCTCTTCTTTTTAACTTGAACCGAAAAAAGAGGAAATATAAACCGTACAAGAACATCAGTTATAAAAAACAAGCTTAATGTTACAGTAATATTTCAACGTTGCTGCAAAACGTTTTTGCTAAAATATATGCTCTGTGCTCCATTGACTTAAGAACAGACACTGTACATTTTTCATATCTTTGTGCACTTCGGGTGCATGAACTGTGATCGGAGAACTTATTACAATTACAATATATAAATAAAAAAAAATCTGAGAGCTGCCTTTTCGTGTGACGCGTACGCCAACGTATCAACGTCCACTTTTGCGATAAGAAAACTAGGTACCATATCTATTTTGTAAAATTGTTGATAAAATCATAGTCGAAAATGAATATGGTTCGTGTCCGTGCTAATAACCAATCCTAGCAACTCTTATTAGCATAGACGTCGTATCAAGAAAAGGAAAGTTACTTTTTAAAAATAATGATAAGTTATTGTTACACGTTACCGAGTTAAAAAAGTAATCACTTATCGTTATTATGGGTGCTTTTCATTTCATGACACAAATCGACACATATATTAAATCGTTCTATCTTCTTGACATTTAGAGAGTGATAAAGATAGAAACATTCACATTCAGACATTTGTGTCGATTTGTGTCGACTTGTGACATCAAATAGAAAGCACTCTATAGTTAATGATTGTCAAAAGTAACTCGTTATCGTTAGTGTTATTTAATTGAAAAGTAATGATTTGTTAGAGTAGAAAAATTCATTGGAAGAATTAATGTGTTTGTAAAACTTGCCATATTTACTTCCTTTCTATCTAATATAAATATCTAAAGCCGGTATTCATAGTCGAGTCTTATTTCAAGACCGTCTTAATGTCGCTAATGCAACCTTTTGATTGGTTCGTGACTTCTTAAGACTGTACTTAAGACGGTCTTGAATATAAGATCTAACTATGAACACCAGCCTAAATTTAGTTTTTTTTGCAATTTGAAAAAGCAATTAAATAAAAAAATACTTTCGTAATATTTTTAAAAATATTAGATAAAAAATAAAAATATTAATAAAATTTGTGCAAAATTTGCAAAACACACTAAAAATTTAAGAAAAAAGATTTTAAAATGTTTAAAATGTAAACAAAAGTACTTGATTTTCGATCTATTTATAAATACAGCCAAAATATATCTTCTGTACCTGCAACTTTATATTTAAAAATAAAATATTTTTACACTTATATGTATTTAAAACTGTTCTTAAAATGTATAGAATTATGAGGATTATTCAGATCTAAGCTATAGAAATTAAGATATAGTATATCCTAATAGGATTATAAAAGATATAGAATTATTTGAATAATCTGGATCTGAATATATATGTATATCATGTATCATCTGAATCATCTGAATTATATATAAAATTGTAAAGATTGAGTAGGATTATATCAAAATATAAACTTGTCAAATTTTGCATTTTTTATTTATAATAAGTAAAAATTGATACTCTATTATATCATTTAAGTGTCCTTGATAGCAACATTAACGATATTTTTCTCGATTGTAAGATCGTTATTTCTTAACTTTGAACTATCACACAAATTGTATTTTATTATTTAAATATATCCTTCTATGGTTGCGAAAAAATCAAGTTTTACCATAGAATATCCAAGTATGAAAAAGCAGAATCATTCTGATCGGTTAGCCTCTAATCTGTTTTCTTTCCGTTATTATTCCGTTCTGCTGTTTCTTTTTTAGGACGTATCCTTAAAATTTTTAAGACGATTTTAAATATAATAACAAATTATATCACACATTATAAATATCGATCAAAGATTGTAGATTGAATATGCGAAAATTATGTCATAAATATAATTAATTTGCACAGCTATATTGAAACAGAATTAACTTAAAAATGCCAATTACATCGGTTAATTATATTGGCATTAGAAATGTACATTTTATAATTGATACATTTCTTTATTCATGTACATATTTATTATTCGTTTTATTTATATATATTACAATATATTATTTAATTTTAAAAAATAATGTATAGTATTTTAAC